CTGGCACAGCTTAAGCCCATTTCCTCTCCTCCTAGCACTCCTTCTGGCCCATCTCACTCCAACCTCTCTTCTGAGCCAGAAAGTCACCCCTCAGCCTCCTCCAGACTAAAAAAAATCCCAGTTCCCTCAGCTGCTCCTCAGAGCTCTCACCAGTCCCATCACCCTCTTCTGGGCCCACTCCAGCTCCTCCATCTCTTTTCTATATTGTGGCACCAAAATCCACCCAGACTGCCCAGGAGACCTGAACGAGTTCATCTCACAAGGGCCCAAGGCTGTACCTGAAGGTAGCTGTTGCCCGCAGGGTCATCCATGATGAAGTGCACCTTGGTCCTTCCCTCTATGATCTGCACAAAGAGAGCACATCCAGGTATTAAGGTTTTTCCTAATTCTCCAGCAAGACCTGCAAACACACTTAGGCCATGCAAACATTTTCCTCAGTCAAAACCAGTAACGGCTCAGGACAAACGTGAGGGGAGGCGTGGGCCAGGCAGGGAAGGTGAGGAACGCCTGCCGAGGAGCTCAGGCACAGCAGCAGCAGCAAACCCATGTTTCAGCGTGGGGAAAATCAGGCGTGCACTCACTTCTTGCAGTTTCCCAAGGAACTCCTGCATCTTTTCTGCCTTGCTGGGCGTGGAGCTGTCACCCAGGGTGAAGGGGTTCCGCTCAACCTGGGGGAGCAGAGCCCACAGCATGAGATCCCTGCCCTGCAGCAGAGCCCGCAGGCGGGGGCCACGCCGCAGCAGGGAGCTGTGCAGGGCTGCTCACCAGCTCCAGGATGTCCTTCAGCAGCCCTTCCAGCGTGGTGAACTTCCCCCCCAGCGCTCCCATCCCCAGCTCGAACTCCAGCTCCGGGATCTCCACGCTGCAGGTCTCAGACTGCGAGGGCCAGCGGTGAGCGCCCACAGGGGAGGGCCCAGGGTCCTCGCCTGCCACGGCCACAGGTGCTGTACCTTGAGGACATCCCGTGTCATGTCGGAGGGGTCTGTGATCCGAAGAGTTATCCTGGTGCCTTGGGGTTCGATGGCTCCTCCAGACTTCACCTAGGGCCAGACAACAGTCAGCCTCACACACTTCCTACCTAAACCATCCACAGCTCTCGAGGAGCAAGCAGAGGCCAGGGAAGCCCTGCAACACTGAGCCACAAAAGCCCAGGCAACACTGCCCCTCCCCACCAGCCCCCTAAAAGCAGTCAGCCGCCATTTCCCAGCTCACTTCATTGGTCCTGTGCCCGCAGGAGTCGCAGTTGGTGGCCATGATAATCACTTCCTTGAAGTGTGGGATTTCTTGAGCGTGTGGTCAAGGAAAACTCCAGGAAAGGGAACTCTGAAAGTAGCAGCCTGTGCCCCCTCCACAGCCTCACTCCCTCTGGAGCTGCCACAGGAGCTCACTGGCAAGTCCCAAGACAGATTTGCACCCTGACGGGCTCCACACCATGCAGGCACAGTGGGAGGTGCCCGGGCAGCTCAGAGGCACGGCTGCCCCTGCAGGGACCCCACAAAGGATACGCACCAGCTTCATGTTGGTGCTGGCCGGCGCGTTGCACTCGGGGCAGTTGGTGTTGAACTGCAGCACCTGGGGTGCAGGAACAAGAAGGAGATTCAGAGAGTCACGGCCAGACCAGAGAGCCTGTCCAGGGTGGTGGGACCCCACCGCCCTGCTGAGTCCCCACCTCATTCCTCAGGTCCTCCACAGAGTCTGCTGGCTTCTCCTCCATCTCCTCTCCCTGCAAGAGGGGACACCAAAAGCAGTGTTACCACCCGTGCCTTAATTCAGGGTCAACCTCCTCCCAGCACAGTCCTGTGTGCAGCAGCAGCTCCCAGTTACCTCCAGCCCCAGCATGGCAGCCTGCTGGGGAGTCCTCCTGTAGTGGGTGACCACCAGAGCATCATCCTTCTGCGGCGCATGAGGGTTCTCCACGAAGCTGTTGCCCGAGGGATCGTCGATGATCTGTGGGAGGACACGGGCTCAGGAGCCACCCCGGAGCCCCCACTCCGCTCCCCTGGCACGGGGCAGGGCCGAGCCTCACGCCAACTCACAAAGGTGAAGGAGGACTGCAATTCTTTCAGCTGCTTTAGCTTGGCAATGAACTCGTCTATTTTACTCGCCACCTCTTTGTCCGTCGCCTGCAAAACACGTTTGAGTGATGCCAGGGCAGCCGATGCCACTGAGGGCACAGGGCAAGGGCGAGCGTGTGACGCTCTCCTCCCGGTGCCGTGTGACACCAGCGAGCACAGGGTGAACAGAATGGGTGTTTCCTGGGCAGGTGTCCCTGTGGAGCTTCCCCTGCC